ATCACATATAACAAAAATGATTATATGTTATTATATGTTTTATGTAATATATATAACATATATACATATGTAATAATTTTTGCTGAGCTATTTGAGAGTAAGTTGCAGACATCATAACCCTTCATCCCTCAAGACATCAGTATTTCCTAAGAACATTCTCTTACATAACCGTGGTATAATGAGTAAATTCAGGAAATTTAACATTGATACAACTTTATTATCTCCTACACAATTCTCATTCAAATTTTACCACTTCTCTCAGTACTGTCCTTACTGTATTTTTTTTATCCGGCATCAGACAATGCTTTCAATTGTCATTTCTTTTCAGTTTCCATTTAATCTGAAACACTTTCTCAGCCTTTAATTGCCATTGACATTTTTAAAGAGCACATCCCCATTGTTTTGTAGAATGTCCTCAATTTGGATTTGTCTGTTGATTTAGGCTATATATATTTTTTCTTTTGTGGGGAGGCAGGAATACCACAGAAATGATGTGTTGTTGTCATTGCCTCACACATCAAGAAACAAGGGTGTCAGCTGATCCATTGTTAGTAATGTTAACTCTGCTCACTTCGTTAGGGTGGTGTCTGGCAGAATTTTCCACTTTAAAGATACAATTCTCCCCTTATGAACTAATTAATCTGGGAAGATACTTTCAGTCTATGAAAGTTCCCTGTCTCCCTAACCCCCCCAAACATTCACCCATTTAGCAGCCAAGGTTGAATTTTGTTTGATGACAAGGATGGCTGCGACATGGTACTTTTCCTGTCAATCCTTCCACATTTATTAGCTGGCATTCTACCGCAAAAAAGAACTTTCCCGTTTCTCTCTCATCTATCTTATTAGAATCAGCATGGATTTTAAAAAATTTATTGTGTTATAAAATGGAAAGTTTTAAAATCCTCAGTCCTCTGTTGACTGTTCCTTTCTTCCTTACAACACTCCTAGTGTGGTATAAACTCTGTCTCTTAGAAACTCATTTTAATTTTTGTCTAGGTAGTCTGCAAAATTTAATTTTGAAAATGTTTTTCACGTAATGCCCTCCAAAATGAAATATGATTAACTTTTGGATCTAACACTGTTTTGGAATACCCAAAGCTTCCATCTATTGGGATGGATAATTGTGAGCTGGCTAGTTTTATGAGCATGGTTGCTGAGTGAAAGACTGAATTTAGTCAGAGTGGTCCAATGTGAGCTTTCTCTAAAACATTCTTAGTGTATCTAAGTCTTGATCTTGGTTCTTCTTGAAAAATTGTACAATCCCAATGTTGACCCCCAAGGTAAGTTAGATGCGCCTGGAGTATACATGGAGGGCTTACAGGGCTGGAGCATGTTATTCCTTTTATTAATGTTATTTTTTAGTTCTAAATTCAAATAAACATGTTCCTCTCGGCTTTTCAACACACTCCTGTTTTAGTTCTTGGAAGAATGAGGTTATTTTCCTTAGATCCTTAGATTTAAAAAGCAAAATATCAGTTAATCATATTCTTTCTGCTTTTAAAGGAAAATCAACAGTTCCCACATAAAACCTTGTGTTATCCAAAGGGGTTTTAAGTGACTTGATGTGTTCCCAGGTATCTTCTCCAACAAGACCATACTGTAGGTTCAATAACATAGGTGTAAACATATGCACAGTATTTTGTTTTTTAAATACCTTTTTAGACTTAAGAAAAACTCTAACCTGGAGGAGTTTATTTTTAACTTTTTAATGCTATTAAATATTGGTAATGTATAATAGAGCCTTTTGAAAGCCTATGTGGTCTAATTTTAAATATTATGAAACATTTTTGCCTGATAAGGTAGCAATTAATAAAGAGGCTAGTAATTATTGAGAGCTAACCACATATTCAGCACTGTTCTGAACCAGTGCTTCTTAACTGTCTGGGATTACAGTTTAGTTATTTAAAAATTTTAAGCCATTGCAAACTAATAGATGATTCAACTGCACATGGCTAGCAAGTGGCTCAAGCTACACACACCTCACCATGCAAGTTCAACTCTCAGACAGGTCTCTATCCTGTTCAACAAGATTCTACCGATCCTAAGTTGGGATGTCATGGCAATATCAAATGGCTGAAAAGTCTCTAGCTTTCTTGAAATTCCTAGTTACAAATAGTTCATGGACTGGCACTAGCCCACAGACCATATACCGTGTCACTGTCACATTGAATCTTTGCAACAGCCCTCTGAGAAAAGTGCTATCCCCATCTCAATTTGACAAACAAATTGAAGCATAGTGTGCTTCCCAACCCCAAGAGCCTGCAATTAGCAGGTAGCAGAACTTGTATCCAAACCCACACAGCCAATGCAGAGGGGCCAGGATTTGAACTTGGAGGACTGACTCCAGAGCTTGTGCTCTTCCCCATGCACTTGTTTCATTTTAACCATATGTGAAGAACAGTGTGGTTTAGGCCGTCAGACAAGGACTTCCTCCAATATACCTTCTACAGTCTAGAAACCCACCTTTATCTACACTTATCTTGCTCTCTTCTCTTGGTGGCAGAGGGGACTCTCTTCCCGTCCAGCGTCAATGATTCCAACCTTTCTTTGGATGCTCTCGGTCCATCAACCATCCCAACCAAAGTAACTGTGCAAGGGCAGGAACTATATCCATTTTCCAGACACAGAAGCTGAGGTTAAAAGGTTGAGACACTTACCTGGGCATGAAACTAGGGCTACATGGCTATAGAGTGACCGTGTCCCCTTTTGTCAAGTGTGGAGCCAGTTTACTGTCCTGGCACCTTGGCTGATTAGGGCTTTCCTTTCACTCTCCAGTGTCCCACTTTAGGCAGTACGTTCTTTGGTCACCCACATTGCTAGCGAGTGGCAGAGACAGAATTGGCATTCTGATCTGTGTGACTGACTCCAAAATGAGGGCTTTCTATAATCCCAGGCTACCTCTTAAAATTTCAAAATTATAAAGTTTAGAAGGAATATTTGTTCTCAGTCATTATTCATTCGGCCAGCATTTATTGAGCACCCGCTATGTGACACTGTGCTAGAAGATGTGGCTAAAAACTGAAGAGGGCACAATTCAAGTCTTTAGAAGCTCATGTTTTAGTGAGAACAGACCACCTTATATCAGGGCAGGCTACATTATTTACAGGGCCCAGTGCAAAATGGAAAAAGCAAGGCCCTTTGTTTGAAAATTAAGTATTTCAAGACAGCGACAACAGGACATTAAATCAAGTATGGTTCAGTTTAACCAAGGAGGGGATGGTCAAATTATTATAGAAATACATAGAAGTTGCCTAGGATGAAGACTGATCTTAAGATGGCTTCCTACAAGAGATGAAAACTAGACTGACCCTAGAGAATGAGGATCTCTCTCCTACATGGACCTTGTCTATTTTTTAGACCACAGGGTATTGAGGACAATCACTTAGTTATTCTGACTTAAACATCAATCACCAAGAGTTTTCTGCCACAGTATATCTTAATTGCCTATCTCTGGAGCTGTGACACATATCAGGAGGAACATGGAGATGTGCTGCCCAGATCTCCCTTTAGAGATCTGTTCCCCAGCTGCTGGAAGTGCTGCTAGTGGGCAACCTTCAGCCACCAGCCCTTCAGGGGGAATCTATATGCAATGACCAAGCAAGGTGGAGGTATAAAGTCCTGGTCACTGGCCCATGGCAGGACAACCCTGATGAGACATCTTAGTCCCAGAGTCCCCAGTGGGGTCAGCCATGGTAGTCTGGCCAGCATTCCAGCTTGACTTTTCCCTCTGCCCTATCCCTCTTGATTCCACAGGTGTTGATCCCAAGGGCACCCACAAAAAGACATCCCAAATACTAAACTCCATGTCAGAGTCTATATCCTAGAGAACCAAACTGCAACACGTATTTAAAAGACTCCAGAACTTGGGGAGGATTTTTATTTGAAAATTATTTATTATACACGTACTTATTTCTAAATCCAGAATGAAATATAAAATGGTGGAAACAAGGACTTTGTGTGTGAATGTGGTTACCCTTTGGTTTACAATCCACAATTTGATAAGGATCAACTGCCTATTAAAATGCATATACCACATTTTGTTGAAATTAATCCATGTATTGCACTTCTTGAGGAAAACTATAACTATTTTGCAATCTGTACTTGTGGAATAATGTAGTCCATAACTGGTTTATGGAACAGAACGTAATTTCCTTTTTTTGACACAATTTTCAGTAAATGAACTTTGAGAATTAGGTCATTTGGTGACTAAACTGGGTTGACCATAAACATGGCTTCTAGATTTTTTTTTGGGGGGGTGGAGGGGTTTAATTTGAACTTTCTTAGTTTTCTTCATTCCAAGTGAAAGATTTCTTTCCCTTTAGTCAAATATAAGTTCGTCCATTCCTGGAATTACATTAGAGGAATTACAAGGAAGTTTTTTCTTGAGATGTGGTGTCCAGGCATCATGCAGTTTTCTAGGTAAAAATGTAAACTGAAAACACTCCAAAACAGAATTGGTTGTGGAAAGTGACTTACATATTCAGGTGTTAAATCTAACACTTCAGGGAATAAGATTCTGAACATCATTAAACTTTTCCCAATTAGACATGAAAATAAATACTCAGGTTTGAGGAGATGGGCTTCTAACATCTCCAGTCAAATCGTCTGAAAGAAAACCACCGATTTTCACTGGCTTACATAGGGACTAATTAATCAGCTGATAAATTAACAACTCACCAAATCATCACAATACTTGAGTCTAACTCACTGCTTCACTGAATTGACTTAAATTGTTTCTTCACAAGATACCAACCATTTATGGCGTCATTAAAAGTACTTAGCATTAGATTGATTTTTGTTTGTATCCTTCCTATTAGAGGAGATTAAAAAATGAAGAGGGTGACTTTGGAGGTGACGGCTAAGTTTATGGCATGGATTCTGGGGTTGGTTTCACTACTGTATACTTACCACCAAAACTCATCAAGTTGTATATATTACAGAAGTACAGCTTTTTGTAAATCAATCAAAGTGATTTAAAAAAAAAACCCAGAAGCCAGAAAAATGTTACAGTTCTCTTTTAATTTCTGCTGCAATTGAAGAGAGTAAGTGGGATTTATTAATTGGTTAGAGAAAAAATAGACCTTGACTACTCATGCCCCAAGAGCTTCAAATGAGGCCATCTGCTATGGGCCACCAGACAACCCTTGAACAGCCTTACATTTTAAGACCTCAGCACAGATAACTTCCCAGATGCAGATTATTCAGTTTTAGACGACTGAGCCACTGAATTTGAATAAGATTCTAAAAGAAAGACAAGGCTGAGAACTTTTTAGGTAACAATTGTGAAGTACGACATACAGCAGAAAAGTGCAGAAAATACATGAAGAGCCCAATGAATACCGATCTAACCATCAGGCAGCCAAAAACCCCCATGATTTAAGCATCCTAGAAGCTGCCCTTTTTTTTTTTCCAATTACCACCACCTTCCACCTCCCCAAAGTGAAGCCCTGTTCTGACTTTGAACACTGTTGTTCAGTTGTTGGAACTTTGTATAAATGGAATCATAAATGTCCTTTTGGGTCGGGCTTCTTCAGTCTTTGAGATTCACCTGCGTTGTCGAGGTAGTTGAATCGCTTTCGTTGCTGTAGAGTATTCCATGGCATCATAGTTCATTTACCAGCTGTCGCTGCTGAGCATCTGGATTATTTCCGGTTTGGGGCTATCCAGAATTATGTTTCTAGGAACATCCTTAAACACATCTCTTGGAGCACATGTGTACAGCCTTGGAGTAGAATCAACAGATCACAGGGTGCGCAGCTAGAGTAAATGCTGTCAGACTGTTTTCCAAAGCCGTTTTGTCAATATACACACAGCAGGGCATGCGAGTTCCCACTGCTCCACTGGTGCTTGATTGGTCTTCTCAATCTTTTTAATTTTAGCCATTCCATTGGGTGTCTGGTGGTATCTCATGGTGGTTTTAATTTGCATTTCCCTAGTTACCAACAAGAGTGAGCACTTTTCCAGTTATTGGCCATTTGGATATTCTCTTTTGTGAAGTGCCTATTCAAGTCTCTTGTTCATTTCTCTAATTGGGCTTTCTGTGTTTTTCCTGATGAGTTTTAGGAGTTATGTTCTAGCTAAGTTCTCAGACTTCTGTCTGCCTCAGAATCACATTTAGAGTTTTTAAGACACAGACTACTGGGCCCCACTAGAGTTTCTGATTCAGTAGATCTGGGGTGAGATACAAGAATCTGCACTTCTAACAAGTTCTTAGGTGATGCTGATGGTCCAGGGACCACGCTTTGAGAACCATTATTCCATAGTGTTTTAAATGTAGCAGCAACAGATGTTTCTTGCTAGTTTAGGGCAAAGTTACCTTTCAAAAAACAAAAACTTCAACAATTTAATACTTGTTCAAGTCTAGGGCATAAGCTAATATTCTTCCTTCATGGAAGGGGTGCAACTGGACTTGCTTCAATGGCAACTGTTTCAATCCGTCTGAAACCCACCTATTTGCTTATAATATTTGGTACACCTAATTAGCTAAGAGAACCTTTGAGAATGGAAGATATTTTTTGATCTCAGAAAGACTCACTGGCTTTCAACAGCAGAGACATGAGTCAGTTATCCCTCTAAGAACAAGAATACAGATCTCTGAATGGAGATGAAAACTGTCATTTATTTCAATTGAATTTCGTTTCATTAAAAAATTCTATGATGACGTTAAAACAGAAATAAAATAGAAACATATTTATTTAACTGATTTTAACCTATAAAGACCAAATAAACACAGACATATTTCACATATTTCCACTGTTTTAACAAACCGCATTATTATCACTGTTGTCATGTCAGTTTCCTGAAATACTCACCATGACTATTAAACAATTTACTGGACTAAACATTAACTATATTATTCCTAAATACAAAGAGTCAAACAGCAACTGCACTCAATGTATTTTGGTAATTTGCTGTGGGTGTGCTTTTTAAGGCTTGATTCTAGAAAACATCTGTTTCTCTCTGTTGAAGAGTCCCCAAACCAGCTATATGAAGGCACATATGTTAACATATGCAATTTGAGGGTGGTTACACCTTATTCTGAGAGGTCTTGAGAGTCTACTTAAAATCGTGACAGTAAAACCTTTAGCAGCTTGAGCTCAACATACCATAGACACCACCATCGAGAAAAACTGAAGACCCAGAGTTCAAATACAGTACACAGCAGGCCATAGGAAGTACTGTGGTTTGTTGAATCACTAATCAGAAAGACCTGAAACAAACTGCTCTTAGTGGTCCAAAGTAAACTGACCGGGGCAGGCTCATGAAAGTGGACCTTCTGGGTGCATCCTGAGAACAGACGACATAATTACAGTCAATGTTTCCAACAATTTTCAGTTCTCACCACCAAGTCAGGAGAGCCTATGCATGCAATTGGGAAAGGGTTTCAATAAAGGCTAAACCAAAAGGCTTATAGTCAACAGAGGGTTAACTGTCAGTAAACCAGAAATCCAAATAAGACTACTACTTCCTATTTAGGAATTCCAGTTAGTGGTTTGGGCTTTTTTGAAAATATCGCCATGCTGAGTCTAAAACTGCAATGGTTACCATGTCAGAGTCGTGCAGTCTAAACGTCAATCGACGACCACACTTGAGTCCTTCAATATCAAATCACCTATAAGGGCTCCTATTTTGAGAACGCATTATTTTCTCTTCATTCTCTTTTAGAACATGCAATTAAATATTGTCCTTCTGTATTTTAACCATACTATCTTTTTTGGGGGCTGGGGGACAGACCCTTCCTACTATAATGTCACAAACTAAAGTGTGTGTGTGTATATATATATATATATTTTTCCCCCCTATTAGTTTTATCTGTACTATTTTAACCAGAGGTCTTTAGGGAAAATAACGGATCCTAGTTATGTTAAGGAAAGTGGTGAGACAAAATGGCAACTTCACACAGTCTTCAAGTAAACAGAATTCCTGATAAAACTGGAAAGTAATATGTAATCTTGGGGGCAGTAAAAAAAAAAAATATGTGACAATTTTGTCTTACACCTTATAAAATGGGCTTTGGGTCTGGGGTCTCTTAAGGCACAAAACCTGGTAGACAGTTTTTATGGGTGGCCTGCACCTCTGATTTGAATAAGGAAAAAAAATACTATCACATATAAATAAAAACAATACAACATTTTGTTAGAGTTTGAAATGATTGGGTGAAGTTGGAGGAAAAATTCAAATAAACTAACATCTCTGTGTAAATATGTTTCGCTAGTGTGAAAAAAGTACAATATAGTTTATACAGTGCAAAAACCATTGAAAAAATGCCTTCAGAATAGACGACAATGCAGCAGAATCACAGTGCTGTCTCAAAAATAGTTAAGGCTGAGGGCTGTCCATTGGACACGTTCATAACCACATGGCCATTGTGAGTAATAGCAGGATAATTCCTTTTGAAGTACACCTGTAAAAAAAAAAAAAAAGCATACAAAGAACATGTTTAAAAGTTTTAAAGTCCTCCTCCCTGAGGCAATGCATTTCTATGTCCGTTTCTTCATGTGAAGCAAATCCTATATCACTAGTAGAGGCACAATTTAAAAAACAAGGATGGGGGTCAGCCCAGTGGCGTAGTGGTCAAGTTCGTGTGCTCAGCTTTGGCAGCCCGTGGTTCACAGGTTCGAATCCTGAGCGTGGACCTACACACCATTCATCAAGCCATGCTACGATGGTGTCCTATATACAAAATAGAGGAAGACTGGCACGGATGTTAGTTCAGGGCCAATCTTCTTCAAGCAAAAAGAGGAAGACTGGCAGCAGATGTTAGGTCAGGGCCAATCTTCCTCACCAAAAAACCCCAAAAAACAAGGAGGCATTTATTCTCTGGAGGAAGTAGCCCTATTACAACCCTCAACAGGGGTGGCTTTCACGCCAAACAACCTATAGATCCACTTCAGTTCTGATCATTCTGATTCACAGATGTTTTATCACTATATTAAAGTGATAAGCAAAATCATTTTACTGACTCAAAACCTGGAGAGAAATTAAAAATAGGACGACAAAGAGACTGGGAAATCTAGTGTCTGCACAAGGGTTTCTCATTTTCACACATAAAATGAGCACAATAGATTTGGATGTTAATATCAGGTTGTAATCCTTATATTTTATAAACTCTGATTGACAAGCATTGAAATGCTGGCATACATGTATGAAATGTCCCGGCGTTTAATTTGTGCCGCAAAGCAGTTATAGGGCCTATAGAAATGTGATCTGGGGATAGTGGGCCATAATAATGAAAAGAGAAGCAAAAGCTTTAACAATGACTCAACCAAGCAACTTCTCTAAAATGTAAGACGATACCAAATAATAGGACAGATCTTTGCCAAGCCTTTGAGTTCCTGAATTCTACCAATTTCTAGCTGAACTAGAAGAGATACAGGTTTTCTGATAAACGTATAATCAGAACATAAAGGAAATGAAATGCTGTCAAGTTTCTCTGTTCCACAATCATCAGTTTTTAGTAGCTGTATCGTATCTCAGTTCCTTGACAGATGCGCATAACAAAATGAAATAATGTCAAGACTTGTGAGCTCTTATCTCAAAATGTGTTTGGGTGAAAAAGGACTTCAAATGTAATTTTTTTTTTTTCAAAAGAAGAATGTGAAAGTTTTGTTTGAGTCTTTAAAACAGAAAATGTACCATCTATCTGAGGCTGGCACGTGTCATGAGCTGAGTCTCTTAGATTCTGGATCTATTTTATAAAACCTGGCTTCAAATATATTTGTGGGTGCTGTCAACAAAGTTACCATGGGAGATAATGGACTTCACATACGAAAAAGAAAAGTGTGGGGACACCTACCTTTATATTAAGTACACTTTCTTTTTCTCTTGTTGCTTGCATACTTGCCACTCCAAAAACATCATTACATATGAAAGACTATATACTAAAAAGTCGCTTAAGGAGAAAAAGTAATTCTCCAATAATGCTTGGACCCCACTGGGAAAAATCTGAGGGCATTTATAACGAAAATATTTAAAAATAAGGCCTTTTTGGGGGGGCTAATTTCATATCATCTCCACCCCCTTGCCTTTTTTCTTTTGCTGAGGAAGATTTGCACAGAGCTAACATCTATTACCAATCTTCCCCTTTGTACTTGAGGAAGGGTGTCCCTGAGCTAACATCTGTGCCAATCTTCCTCTATTTTCTATGGGGGTCGCTACAGTGACCAGCGGTGTAGGTCTGCGCTGGGGAAGGTAACGTGGGCTGCCAAAGCAGAGTGTGTCGAACTTAACCACAGGGCCGGCCCCCTCACCTATTTTTTTATGCTAGCCATATTTGATGTAGTTGCATATTTATGTACTCCAAAAAAAGCTATTTCTTGGTGAAACTAAAAACAGCCAAAAGAACCAATGGAAATACATTTCATTTTCTACTGCTTAACAGTCCTCCCCAAATAAGCTAGTTCCTTTCCCCATAACCCTTTCAATGTATTTTTTTTTATATAAAGAAAATGTTATTGTTAGCAGCTTTTAACCGAAATGGTCTTAGCTTCATGGTCTGAAATACTTGAAAGTGAATACTGAAAACGAGCTTCCTGACGTCTAAAATCCTTGACCTTCCTTCTTCCCATCTGTTGCCCTGTTTTATAGCACACTCCAGCTAACAGCAGAAGTGAGAAGGCATCTTTTTCACAGCGCAGGCTAGGAAGGTGGTGGAGCTGGCTCAACAGTCGTCAGCAGAGTCCTCGGCTAAGCCTGGGTCGGAAAGGTCCAGTCTCAGCTCTCTCTCCTAGGACTCACTGCTGATCCTGGAAAAATCGCTTAACCTCTCTCCATCCCAGCTGCCTCATCTGTGAAATGAGACAATGACTTACCTCATAGGAGCTAATTAATGGCTACACACTGCAGGCTGAAAACACGCCGAGCTAAGTGTGGGGTGTGATTATGAATGCTGCTCAGAGAAGTGGCCCCTTAGCCCACGGAAAGCAGCAGCATTATCTGGCTTGAATAATGAAAACAAAATGTCTAGGAGGCCCTTTTGTGGATCTTTTGATTTTATCTTTACAGAAGCCCAGAGTCATAGTGGAGACACCTTTAATTCAGTGACTATGGTAACCTGGGAGGCAGAAAGATAGTTAAAAAATTACGGAAGTTGGAGTACTAACACTCACTAATTGGTGACTTTAAGAAGTCACTTGGGCTCTTCTGCCTCAGTTTCTCCATTTGTTAAAAAAGGGATAATAATGGCAGCTCAGTATGGCTGTCAAGATTGAAGCAGACAATACCATAAAAGTTCAAGTTCAGAGCAAGCAGAATATAACACCCATGAGTGTTGGTTTTCTTGACCCTCTTCCCTTCCTTCTCTTGGGTTTGGTTCACTCCAGTTCCTCTAATGTAGAATGAAACTAAGTTTAGTATTTAAACTCTAGCTTGTCAATAAAGTCATCATCATGGAACTAGATCTTACTAAAAGCAACAGAGCAATAAAAGCTCCCTTGCGTGGTTAAAGGCCAGCAAGAGAGCTTTGATATACATTGTAGTCATAAGGCATCATTCAATATATTCAATTCTGGCTCAAGACTCTGTCAGTTCCTTCTCACTGAACTGTATGGCCCTAGGTCAATCCCAGTAACTCACAAACTCTTCACCTTTAAAGCAGGTCTAACTTTGCTGTACATGCTGGCAGGTGTATTATGAAAGTTACAGAGTACTGGAGAGTTAGAGAGGACTTCTGCTTTTAAGTTAATGGAATAATGAATTTTCTCTCCCTTTATCCTCTCAGAAATCACCCTCAACAGTAAAAAGATTGGGAGATAAAAAATAATCCCAATCTTTGATGAAATTCCAAAAGGAAAAATACCCAGATGAGCTGCTATATGTAAGTGGATCCAATGAGGCTGTGGCGAGACACAGAGAGGCTACCTATGGGAGGAGATCTCAGCAATCGTGGAAGAGGCATAGTTCTCCAACTAACTGGTGAATTCTAAGGCATGTCAATGAGGAATCAGAGAATCCCCATCTTTGCCTGAAGCACATACATTGGTGAGGTCCTAGGAGAAGTGAGATTCTGAAATGCAAGTAGCATTGTGACCATCCATCTCTACAGGTTAGGGAGGAATACAGGCTAAATGAACACGCATTCTCAATTTCTCTCTCTCGTATACACACACACATTCTCTCTCTGGATCATAAGGAGCTTCTACGTCAAGCAGAGAGAATTCCCTTTAGCCTGAAATGATGCCCCAGGTACAACTATCCTGTAAATATATGGTCTAGGAAAAACTCACTTAATTCAAAAGTGAGTAGTAGAAATAATAATAAAGAAGTAGTACAGGATGTGTAAAATACACAAAGTGAGGGAAAGGAACAAAATAAGCACATGAGGGATGAAAAAATACTAAACAGATGAAAACTGCAAAAAAATATAATGTAATACATTCAAAGAAAATGTAGATCAACCTGTGGACAACAGAGATCCTGAAGTATAGGAAAATATGGCACAGCAACAGAAGATGATGAAACATGAGTTGACAGAGGCCAAAAGTGAAGTGGAAGAGAAAAATGAAAACATCAAAGAAATGAGAGTCCTACTGAAGGCAGTACAGAGAAGATTAGCCACTGTTGAAAAAACAGGATGAGACATGGAGGACAGGATTAAGAAAGCAAGCAGAATAATTGAAAATTAGTCAAGAATTAAAAAGGATTAGGAAGAAAATAGCTTTATAAAATAGTCAAAGGACATATAACACATATAAAATAGATACCCGTAAAGAGGCAAATCTAATCAAATAAAAAAAATTCAAAGATATAATTCAAGTAAAGTTCCAGAAACAAAAGACGACTTGAATCCAGAGACCAAAAGAGTACGTGATATCCTAGGAAAAACTAATGACCTTCAAAATAAAGAATACTTTGGGCATCTGGGAAAGAAGATCAAGTTATGTCTAACTTGGCCTTAGGCTTCTCCATATGAATAAACAATGCTAGAAGCCCTCGGAACAAAGACTACAACATACTAAGCCAAAGAAAATGTGACCCAAGAATTTTATCCAGCAAATTTAGAGATGCAGCAAATATTTCAAATGTGCAATAAGTCAGGGATTCTAGTTCCAATGAACCCTCCTTTAAGACAGCACCGAGCATTGTTTTTAAACCCCCCCCTTTTTTTTTTTTACTATCACCCACAATAATAAATCCATTTCACTTTACATTGAGACTCAGTACAGATTCATTGTCTATATTTATCTATACTGAAAGGAATTTCATGAAATACTTACTATTACTACAAAAGATGCATTGTTATTTTTTCCATTCCATTCTTTTCTATTTAATTTCTTAAACATGCTGGTTATGACTGACTAAGCAGATTTCGCAGTCCCACTAATGGATCACAATCTGAAGTTTGAAAAACACTATACTAGAGGAGAAACTTTGGCCAATTAAGAGATGAAGAAAGTGTCATTTAAA